AGTAGCTGTTCAATAGAGTACCTGAGCTGCAGGCAGCGACAGTAGCTGTCCAATAGAGTACCTGAGCTGCAGGCAGCGACAGTAGCTGTCCAATAGAGTATCTGAGCTGCAGGCAGCACCAGTAGCTGTCCAATAGAGTACCTGAGCTGCAGGCAGCGACAGTAGCTGTCCAATAGAGTATCTGAGCTGCAGGCAGCGACAGTAGCTGTCCAATAGAGTACCTGAGCTGCAGGCAGCGACAGTAGCTGTCCAATAGAGTATCTGAGCTGCAGGCAGCGACAGTAGCTGTTCAATAGAGTACCTGAGCTGCAGGCAGCGACAGTAGCTGTCCAATAGAGTACCTGAGCTGCAGGCAGCGCGTCAGTAGCTGTTTAATCACTCCACAGAGTAGAAAGCATTTTCCATCACACATTGTGCTTGTGTGTATGTGTCAGTGTGTATTGCATATTCGGTCCGAGACTGCGGTATTTTATTAAATTTCTCCGGCATTTCTTGTCTTGGTTAGCCATGTTAGTTATATAGAGGCTTCCGTTAAACGGGCAGTTTAGTTCATTTGTGTGTAGTATCTGCTTGTAATTGCGATATTATCTCTCTGTCATTTTGTATCTACTTATAATATCTACAGTGTGCATGCTCCAACCGCACAGTTAGTCCCTCGAGTGTATTTTACTTTGGTCATGTTGTGAACAAATCAACTATGAAGCTCTTGGGGATTTTCAAGCGGAAATCAAATGAAGGCGGTGAGTATATCGTGGAGGCTTTGTTTTTTGAAAATTCATTTTATTTGTCGAAAAAATCGGGTTCTTTGTTTAAAAGTATATTGTAGATAGCATCATATTTAACTTATAAATATCAGACGTCATGCAGCGCAAATCATTTTCTGCTTCCGATTCCTAACCAATTATAAGCTGGCGCTCAGACACGACACCATTGACGTAAAGTATGAGTAACTTTGCTGACGTCACCAATCCATTGTTACTTTCAATCATTCGGCCTATTTTTCCAAGACAACTTGTCATCGTCATCTTGGACCAGATCGTTGGTTTCCAAAGATAGCGAAAAAAAATATTGAAAGGAGCAAGATTACAAGTCTAGTTTCAGAGCTACACGTACATGATTCTTCTCCCTCAAACATTGTAACAGACTTACTAAGTAGTCGGTGGCTGTGTAGATTTCACAAATATTTACAGAGATTTTTTTAATTTCTTAGTCAAGCCAATACAAGGAATGTTAGAATTTAGACTCTGACATCAAATTTTTGTAACACTGAAAAACAACTATCAACACATTTTGTTTCGAATCTAAGCCCTCAACACATATGTCTATTATCGAGAGTGAGCTATAATTTCGTCCCTGCATGTAACCTGTAAAATTGTAAATCATAATTCCTCTCGCCTCCTATACAAAATATGAGGAGAGCCGCGTCAAGAATTCGGTATAATGTACGAATCACGCATACCTATCACACATATGCATACCTATCACACATATCCCTTCAAATATCAGAAACACGTCCAATACATAGTTTGTACAATAATGTGGTGTACCTGTACTGGTGTTATTTAGTAACTCACATCTACAAACTCACACTTTTCAAGAGTTGTAAAATGTTCCCAAAACTGAATGAATATGAATGATGGCCAGAACAGAGCTCGTATTTAAGGTTGTAAATGTGCCATGTAGCATGTCATGATACGGTCCAGTGCCTCAAGTAACTGGAGCGTATCATACCTCTACCCATACCTTCCAGTGCGTCATCAAGCTAACTGAAGCGTATCAATTATCTTACGTAATCTCAGATAAGTTCCAGTGCCTCAAGCTGCGGCAACTGGAGCGTATCATACGTCATCTCACGTACGTTCTAGTGCCTCGTTGCGGCAACACAGAAAAATTAGGAGCAAGTCAGAAGTTGCTTCCTTGTGGTGTGAAGTTGGAAGCTATAGAGCGTATTGTGGACATTAATTACTCTATACAATGCAGCCCGAGCCGAGTACACGGAACCCGCACATACTGCGAATACCTACTAGGTCATTAGTCCAGACCGGAATAAACACCAACAGTTTGTTTGGTCAACCCAATATTCCTCATTAGAACTGACAGGACAAATGATATTATAATACTCAGCTATGCTACACTCGGCTACTTGGCCAGGGTGTTGCTGCTACACTCGGCTACTTGGCCAGGGTGTTGCTGCTACACTCGGCTACTTGGCCAGGGTATTGCTGCTACACTCAGCTACTCGGCCAGGATGTAGTTGCTGGATAGTGCATTTATTCCTTAACTTCAGGCCTAATTAAATCTAATCAAAGCGGCACATTAATTCAGATGTGTGTCAGCGGCACAATTTAATCCAAATTGTGAGATGAACAAGATTGAAGATTAGAGCTGGTATAATGATACTACAAAGTAGTCTTCTCGCCAATTAGCTCCAAATACAATTAGCTCCAAATACATTCACTTTGGAGAAAGGGCAATATCATCTTATACTCTTTCTTCTATACCCAAATTAATCTTAAATACTACAAGATAAGTCAACTATTAGCCGAAAAAACGATTGAAAGACCGCCTCTACTTTCTCTCAGGCAAATTATCTTTGTATGATTTTATCCCAGTATAATAATTGTTGTCTCACTGTACACCAGGTATATACCAACTAGAGAAGGTACTATATATAATCTGAGTACACCTCATTGGGTAGGCTAACATTTACTGGAGTGTACAGACATGAGGCATAACTAACATATGTTTGATAATGATCTACTGATTATAATTACTTATTATCTTGCTATACGATACACCTACCTGCTGCTTCACTCTCAAGAGGAGCATGCCTGGTAAGATACACCTACCTGCTGCTTCACTCTCAAGAGGAGCATGCCTGGTAAGATACACCTACCTGCTCCTTCACTCTCAAGAGGAGCATGCCTGGTAAGATACACCTACCAGCTACCTGCTGCTTCACTCTGAAGAGGAGCATGCCTGGTAAGATACACCTACCTGCTGCTTCACTCTGAAGAGGAGCATGCCTGGTAAGATACACCTACCTGCTGCTTCACTCTGAAGAGGAGCATGCCTGGTAAGATACACCTACCTGCTGCTTCACTCTGAAGAGGAGCATGCCTGGTAAGATACACCTACCTGCTGCTTCACTCTGAAGAGGAGCATGCCTGGTAAGATACACCTACCTGCTCCTTCACTCTGCAGAGGAGCATGCCTGGTAAGATACACCTACCTGCTGCTTCACTCTGAAGAGGAGCATGCCTGGTAAGATACACCTACCTGCTGCTTCACTCTGAAGAGGAGCATGCCTGGTAAGATACACCTACCTGCTGCTTCACTCTGAAGAGGAGCATGCCTGGTAAGATACACCTACCTGCTCCTTCACTCTGCAGAGGAGCATGCCTGGTAAGATACACCTACCTGCTGCTTCACTCTGAAGAGGAGCATGCCTGGTAAGATACACCTACCTGCTGCTTCACTCTGCAGAGGAGCATGCCTGGTAAGATACACCTACCTGCTCCTTCACTCTGCAGAGGAGCATGCCTGGTAAGATACACCTACCTGCTGCTTCACTCTGAAGAGGAGCATGCCTGGTAAGATACACCTACCTGCTCCTTCACTCTGCAGAGGAGCATGCCTGGTAAGATACACCTACCTGCTGCTTCACTCTGAAGAGGAGTATACCTCGGTCCTCGTGCGATATAATAGGGACGGTTAAACATCCGAACCAAGCTATAAATTATCATGTACAGTTATAAGAGTTGAGTTAGTAGCCCGTATACAATACTAACTAGCCTCTTCACTATCTATAACGATCATTTGGAGAATTTACTGGAGATATATACTTTTTACACGCAGAAAGAAATGAGCATGTAGAGGAAAATAAGAGTAACAACAGACTGTTTTTACTATGTTTTCAGCATGTACAATCTTCACTTTTTATTATGTACGTTTTGAACTATTTTTAATGACTCGTACACCTGAACGTGTATAAGTTACAGCGGTATCAACAATGTGACTGCACAAGAGAGTCCCTCTTTTGAATATATAATTGAGAAAGCTCACTCTGCCTCTGTGTAAGTATGTATATAATTACACAAAGCATCGCTTTATTACATTACTGTGCGAGCAGTACACCCAATTCAATATTAGGACGCAGAGGTCCGTGTAATATAATTAGACTATTACTACTTACAGTATAATAAGTTACAGTTATTACTTACAGTATTGTTACTCACATTATTATTATTTACTGCATCATTACTTACAGTAAAAGTACTTACAAGCTAACTGCTTACAGCTATTAGGCTGTTAACTGTCCACTGGCTTGTCTTCGAGCTTGTCTACCAGCACGACTAGTCTACCATATGTTAGAAGCAGACCTCTCTTTAGGCAGACTGGTTTAGCACACTACACTTTACACAGAACAGTACTGAGCACAGTGTCCGGTTGTAGTTAAGTCTGGTAAATGTGACCAGACATATTCCCGTGCTGCACAGCTGCAGGTCACGTACTGTTCATTGTTAGAAGAAAGACTTTCACTTCTATTCATACTAGTCTTCACCGTAAAAGCATATAGTTCATAGCAGATTAGCAGATTAGCAGATTAGCAGATTAGCAGATTAGCAGATTAGCAGATTACTAGATTTGTAGATGAATAGCTAGTGCAGTAGCTACAGACTTGGAAACACTATAAATGGGATATGCTATTTTACTGAGAGCGAGAAGAATCTAATATTGTTTGTAATTTGAGAGTGCATTTCATGTAATTCTAAAATTGTGTAAAGTGGAATTTAATTTTCACACGTTTTTTAATCCACGTGAAGGTCATAAAGTCATCAAACATAAAGTCATCAAACTAAACCGATCATCGGTAAAATACTAAGTATTTAATCAGTGGAAGTATATGACAAAGGTGATTTGTTACACAGACCCTCTTGAGTAAACTCAAAGTATTTAAAATAATTACCAAGCCAGACAATAATCCTGCCTTTCTTCAGGAGCTGGCCAAGTGGGCAATGGGTCGGGTCAAAGTCAGGGTGTGTACGACATGGACGCAGTGAGGGCCAAGGTCCTGGTTCCTGAACTTAGAACCGAGATTAAAGACTGCTACGTGAAACTCAAGGCCAAAGATCAGAAGATCCAGGACCTGGAGACTGAAGTTAACAAGTTTAAGTCTGGTAAGTGAAATTACCTATTTGGAGCTCGTACATTGCATTTAAACATGCTACTTTTTGTAGGCGTGTTGTTGGACCATGATTTTCAAGTTCTACACAGATTTATGAAACCCCGAGATTTGAGCACCAAAGTACAATTCTTAATGCACCAAAACTTCAGACAGCACAACTAAGGCGGACGAGATAACACGACTGAAAGATGAGATCAACAAGTTGAGGGATGTACTGGGAATCCTGAACAAATCCCCCGCAAAGCAGCAAGAACTACTCGACAGTATTAAAGGTAAGCTTTTACCTGGGCCCTACTTATTGTAAATCTTTACTACTTAACCTCCTACTTTATAATTTGTACGCCTGATGTCACGTTAGAAGTAACCATTTATCACTAAGAAGTAGCTACCTTATCAGTTATAAATTGCATGGTTACACTTTACAGCTTACACTGCTGAATACTGCTTATCGGCCGTTAAATTATCTCTCAAATAGGGTTTTATGCGCAAAATAACGTACATTACACCTCGGTCCTCGATATACCAGGCGGCTAATCGTTTGATTCTCTGGGCCTGAAGAGGCACGGTAAATCGAGGAGTTTCTCTATATCATGCAAAGTCTGATAATTATAGGCTCCAGTCAATGTTCATGAATCCATGAAGTCTGAAGGAATTTCATTCCACTACGATAATATGAGAAAGTAAACCCAACCCCCGATCCTATAAGGCACAGAGAGCAAAATTACACTCTCTACAATGCTATATTTAGCTCCGTGATAGCTTTAAATGTACGTCGTACTTCAACATAGTTATAATTAATGAAATTCTGCAGTAAAAGTAAAAGTCAGGCTATAACTGATGCTTGCTCTGCAAGAATTGCTAAACCATAATCCATATTAATGGCTGAAATATCGTCACGCCCCTATATATGGAGCTGTGTAGGTACCCAGCATATATTTTTAATATGGACTACACTTGCAGAGGTCCCTGCAGCCGACCAAGAGGAAGATGTTGTCCAGGAAGTGAAGCCACCCCCACAAACACAACAGAAGAGACAACGTCAGGTGGCTATCTCGGGAGAGTCTGTCAAACAGAGCGATGTTGATATAGACTACACTGAGTACCCTAAGGATGCCGAGTAAGTTACTATAGTTACAGTAAATAAGGGTTGGAGAAAATACTCCTTCCTTCCTAAGAGAACTGTACAAATCTGGTAACCAGAAATATTTTTTATCAGAAATATAAATATTAAATATCATATATCTGATATCTCTAACACTGATCGCATCTCCAGCCAGAAAGCCATTATCAAGGCTGGAATTTTGAAGAACGATTTCATGAAGAACCTGGAGCATGCTCAGATCAGGGAGATTGTGGCCTGCATGAAACCAGATAACCGTAAAGCAGGGGAATGGATTATTAAGGAAGGAGAACCTGGACAGACCTTGTTCGCCCTACAAGGTACTTTATTTGGATTTCTGCTTTTTGGACCTGTTTTTGAAAGGCTACCCTCTTATCTCGACCTATTTATTCGCTAAAATATATATATATCTATGCCACAAAGAAACTTGTTGATCGTTTCATCTCATATTATTAATTATACCGTACTATCGGTTGGGCAAGAGTTCAAGTCTTGTGGATATAACATCCATTATACGACTGTAGTGTATAACAATATTTAGTGAAACACCAGTGAAACACCTTTAACCAATGATTGCCTCTCAGAGGGACAGCTGGAAGTTATAAAGAACAGCAAGGTCCTCACGGTCATGGGACCCGGCAGAGTGTTCGGAGAGCTCGCTATTCTCTACAACTGCACTAGAACCGCTAGCATCAGAGGTTAATTACTATCAATCAACTTAGCTGGGAACCAAGTACCAACATGATGTGCGACAGTCACTCCTAAATTATACGTTAGAAAATGAACGGAATGCTCAGAAATTACAACAGCTGTTTTAAAAGTTTGTACTCGTTAGACTTTCTTGACTTTCTTTCCTCTTACAGCTCTCACGGACTGCAAGCTATGGGAGCTAGATCGAACCCTGTTCCAGGCTATTATGATGAAGACCGGTCAAGCTAAGCAGAAACAGCATCTTGACTTCTTGAAGAGTGTGAAACTCCTTCAAGATGTGCCCGAAGCTAAACTTGTTAAAATCGCCGATGCGCTTGAAGAGGTTTGTAACCTTTTATTATATGCTTTTTCGACCCTGCTGGTTCATTTATCACCGATTAAGTATTGGCTAAAAAAGTGGATACCGTACGGACATACCTGATTCAAAGAATAAAACTTTTCCTTTCGTGGATAACGTTGGATCTTTTGTATTCTGCTTGGTCACTTGTGAGCGTAACTTCACCGAAGCCTAATTTTCAGTAGGTTAAATGTTTGTAACCCCACAGGAAATATTCAAGAAGGATGAGTACATTATCAGACAGGGATCCCACGGGGAAACCTTCTATATTATGGTGGAGGGAGAGGTCCTGGTCACGGCAAAGCTTCAGAACGACAGCGAGGCCTCAGAGATCAGAACTCTTACTGCAGGCGCTTACTTTGGCGAGCGAGCTTTATTAGGGTATGTAGTTCAAAGTTAGGTCCTGTCCAATTTTTTACAATTATCGGCTTAACAGAAGGTTAAAGTATGTCACGAAAATGAAATTACAACCACTGAATAATCCTCACTAAAAGAATTAGGCCTAGCCAAACTAAAGAGATTCCCTCAGAGACGACAAGAGGACTGCAAACATCATCGCCAAGTCGGAGAAAGTATCATGTCTGGTGGTGGACAGAGCGTAAGTAAAATATAAAATAAGGAGGCGTGCTAGAAGACTGGTCGGGTATTTAAGTGGTTAGGTAGTTCCTGAACTAATTATCCCCAGTATGGTCCATATGAGCGGCGAGCTGTACTCCCGACACTTCGAGCTCTAAAACTCTCCTTTTGTTCTCGGATAATATGATCTCGCAGAGCGACCCTCACACCTTTGTGTTCGACCCACTGCCTTTTTATTGGCTGATCAACAAAGCAGTCTTTAATAAAGGGAGGCAACACGTGACACTGATTCCTTTCTCCTGCAGGTCATTCAAACAGCTGATTGGATCGCTCGAGGAATTCAAACACCAGGATGAAAAATACAAACAGATTGAGAAGAAAGTGGCGGACAATCTTCGAGAGAGTATTTCAAGGTACAAGACTGCTTCTATTTTAATCTTTACCGTGGTGTGTCCATCTGTGGTTAAGACGCGCAATCGTCGCGCGGCGTAAGCGTGATTTAAATTACCGGGCGGAAATCGCCTCTCTCTTTCTCTTCCGCCGAATCTCCGAGTGTAATTCTATTACAAAAAAGCACAGTTATACCGCACATTGACTGTGGCGATCACGCATCTTAACCATAGGAGGGGACACCATCGCAGCTGTTTTAATAGAATTTCTGTTGAGCTGGCGATATCCTTACATTTTTCATCCGGCATAGTTTTTGAGCACTAAGCTTCAAGGCAATCAACATTTACTTAGCATCATATAAGCTGTCAATCGCTTGCCTATTGAGACCAATTTGTTTTAAACTATATAAGGATCGTTCACAGTTCACGCATATATTACGTAAGCTAGCTTATGGGGGTGGTTTGGAAGCGTTTACAATTTACACCGGTGCAATTTATATACGTATAGTGACGTGTAAAATGGGATATAGATTACAGAAGGGGTTTTTAATAACTAAAATCTGGCTAAAGGTATATGTGAACGATCCTATTATGAGTTTTGTTGATTCATATAAAGACATTGAAGCGTCGAACCTTGCTGCTCTGTATGTACAATTTTTGCTGCTAATTTAAAGCTATATATTTGCCGTATTTTTCCTATTTTATTTGCTGACTTATAGCGAGAATATTTTCTGCAGTAAACGTTCACAGCCTATCGCCAAAACGTCAGAGTAAGTCGTGTTTGACCGTGCAGTGTTTTTGCGGGTTATGCCGTGCATAGTATGCATATTATGCATATTATGCACACGCAAATGTACGTCTTCACAAAGATATTATGAGCAATAAAACTGAGGTGTTTTGGAGCTCTCTCTCTTTCTCTCTCTACCAGCGGTGTAGCACCCCCACTTACACGCTGTAACAATCTTCTCATTGGAAAGTAAAGCTCCAATATACACCGGGCTGACCTAAATGCATGCCGCAAACGTATTACAGCCTGACACACTCCAATACAATCAAATTTCGTGATTGAATGAGATCCAATAAATTTCACGGGGAAAGTATAACTGCGAATAGATTAAACAGAGAGCTTTAGGACTAGTACTACCTGTTTAGGACTAGTACTACTTGTTTAGAAGTTAGAACAAGTATTAGTTATTACGTGTTCAGGACACGTATTACTTTATCGTAAGTGTCGTATTGTGACCTACACATATTTGTTGCCAGGGAACAACCACCACCATGCCACCCTCACCAAGGGCCACACCCCAATTATAAACATCACTCATCTACAAAATGAATGCTCGTTTCATGCCTACTTCTTCATTTTGCATGATACTTTCTCAAAAGAATGACGAATGATTAATAAGGTTGATCACCCGAGCTTCCTTGACTTGTGTATCAGGATTGACGACATGTAAAAAACGTCTATTTGAAATGTCCAAACTCCAAACTATTCTACATTATTGGCCCAAACTCCCATCCTCTGGATTATCCATCAATACGACGGTATTGCACTATGATAAAAAGCCGCGCGTGATGCGCGTCTTTTTATTGTATTGTAATACGTTTATTAAACTGTAGTCATGTCCAATGTCCATGTTCAACGGTGATATTTCATTTTGTAATGTCAGATCCTGTTTTTTCCTCTTGAAACTAAAAGGCAAAAATTACAGTATGTACAATGAAAACTACCAGTGTTGTATACCCTACAGATAAGTGAAGGTGATCAACCCCATGCTATTTTAATATAAGTGAAAGTGCAGTAAGCTGGCAGGCATGAGTCAAGCGCTTAGTGCAGCTGTGCAGCATAAAAGCCCCTTTAAGAGGAAGTACATGTTGTAACCTCTTTCTTTTACAGTGGGGGTTCTATACGATCCAGTTCTCCCGAACCAGTTGCTGCGAACGAGGAATATGCTAACCTGAAATACGAGGATCTCAAACATATTGCTACCCTAGGAATGGGAGGATTTGGCAGGGTCGAATTGGTAAGTGGAGTGTAAAACCCTTACTTAGCAACCGCCACCATACAAACCACACCTAGCAATCTTTATGCTTTAGAGCTTAGAATGCAACCCTAACCTAGCAAACATATCTAGCAAACCTTTACCTAGCAAACCCTAACCTAGCAAACGTATCTAGCAAACATTTACCTAGCAGACCCTAACCTAGCAACTTTCACCACAGGTGTGTTCCCGTCAAGACAAAACGAAGTCCTTTGCTCTGAAGTGTTTGAAGAAGAAACACATAGTGGATACCAAACAGCAGGACCATATCGTGTCCGAGAAGAACTTGCTGTTGGAGTGCAAATCACTCTTCATCACCAGGTAATATTGTAAACCACTCTCCGTCCTTTGACTGAGACTTCTTTTTTAATATAATAGCCAGGGATATTGCTCGCTGTTGATTTGATCAACTTGTAATAACCAGCTTCTGTGTTTCAGGTTGTACCGGACTTACAGGGACAGAAAGTACGTGTACATGCTGATGGAGGTGTGCTTAGGAGGAGAGCTGTGGACCATCATGCGAGACAGGGGTTGCTTTGACAACAACACCACAAAGTTCTTTGTTGCTTGTGTGGTAGAAGCTTTTGACTATCTTCACAGGTGAACTATACTAGGAGCCATCACTTCCCGGTTTTGCTTGCTACAGTTAATGTAATAATAGTAGCTAGCTGGCCGTGTATTGACGTCAGCTAACTTATGTTGACGTAAATTAGTTGTTGAGAATTATTTGACGTTCGTTTGCGGAAATAAAGCTGGGAGAAGGTTAACATCTGACAAAATTAAACAGGAAAGGTATCGTATACCGAGATTTGAAGCCGGAGAATCTACTGTTAGACTCTGAGGGATACGTTAAACTTTGTGACTTTGGGTTCGGAAAGAAGATCGGACATGGCCGGAAGACATGGACCTTCTGCGGTACACCGGAGTACGTTGCTCCAGAGATCATCCTCAACAAGGTTTGGAAATTTTCTTTTTAACAGTTATATGTGTAGAGAGGTGCTCACGGAGTCTATCCCCTCAAAAAGTGGGGCCAAAATGCTGCATTTCAATTCATTATTCATACCGTTCATTGCATTTCTCTCGAAATATATTTGACGGATCATACAGGTAACTGACTTATGACCAAAACTAAATGGTTCGTTTTGAACTGCTATCAGCTGGTTGCACTGCGAGCAAAGTTTACCGAGAAATGTATTAAATGCTTGAAAAATTTACCGAGTTTCTGATTCAATTCGTAAATGTTGTTTTATTGATTGAACTTTGTCTGGAAGCCTCTTCAATTGTTCAATAAATTTGAAAAAGTAATATTGGACAATACTAATCTCATCCTTCCTGTAGGGTCACGATTTGTCAGCAGATTACTGGTCGCTTGGTATCCTGATGTTCGAGCTGCTAACAGGAAGTCCTCCTTTCTCCGGAGCGGACCCCATGCAGACCTACAACCTCATCCTCCGGGGCATGGACATGGTGGAGTTCCCCAGGAAAATCAACAAGTCAGCTCAGCATCTGGTCAAGAAGTTATGCAGGGATAATCCTGCTGAGAGAATAGGTTATCAGAGGGACGGGTTGAGGGACATCAAGAAACATAAGTGAGATCATTTAAACTATTCTTCTTTTTCTTGGTGACGCATCCACGGTTACAACACACACCAATTTTGGTTGAAAATGATATTTTTTAATGCATTTTTGGGACGCGATGACTTTATTGAAAAGTAGCAAGGTAATATAATATGTTGCACAATGGCACAGATTTAACATTCGGAGCTGATTGAGGTTCTAGAAACGCCTTTACATTTCTACTTAAATCGCCTCACACGAAGAATTTCGTCAAATACACTGTCTCACCTCCACATGACCACAAATAATTGATAACTGCAGATATCGGAATAATGCAGAGTAGTAAAACACCTTACTATGTTGACAGGTTGCGCAATCGCAAAATGAGCGGGAAAACATGATTGATTAAGGGGCCATCTACTTAGGACGTCCGCCAAAATCGCAGATTTTCAGACCACCACCCCTCCCCCTGTCCGGGTGTGTCCGAATTTTTAAAACCACCCCCTCCCCCTGTCCGGATTTGTCCGAAATTCCAAAACCACCCCCTCCCTATTTGCCGGACGTCCTAAGTAGATGGCCCCTAAGTGCCGTGCACATTTGTACATTTGTACGTTAAAACTATGAACAAAACTAACAAAATGCTCATTCTAAATTATAGGTGGGTAGTAACCTGAATTCGATCCATACTTAGAAATAACGACGTTAATCCAAATTACTTGTATGCTTATAGAGTGTTGCAAATTTAAACTCGCATTCGTTTCAGGTGGTATCAAGGATTTGACTGGGAGGGCCTCATCAACAAGAGAGTGTCACCCCCCATCTCCCCCCGAATCAAGAACGCTACTGACTCCAGTAACTTTGACTCCTATCCAAAGGACAACGAGGAAGCTCCAGATGAGATGTCGGGCTGGGACGCCGATTTTTAAGAAAAATTGGGTTCGATTTTGCTGTATCAGCAACACACAGAGACACTCATTTTTATCATCGCTTACCTCCCGCCGCCAGACTGACGCGTGAAAAGATAGAGGGGATCTGATCACTGATGGAGCCAGGAAAAGACGCACAACACTCAGTGTTTTTACTTTTTAATATACAAGCTAAATCTATTTTTATACCTCAACGGTCGAAAGCTTTCTCAACAAGTTAGGATGTTATTAAAAGCTCTGGAATTACAAACCGCCTGTTTCTGTCGGGAAAACCACGTGTGCTCGCTTAGCGTGCACGTGCTGAGCTTGCATTCCGAGCATACGCAAACTTTGCGTGCACGTGCTCATACTTTGTTCTTCCGCATCTATTTCGACCATCAACTGTGCTCTGTACTTGTATCTTCTCAATTATCTTAAAAGGATCTCTCTGTCTGAATAACAGAATTACTGGCTCTAGGCGATCATTTTTCTGAGGATTTTGTTATCATCGTCATTGTTATCCTTCACGTGATAAAGTCACGCGTGATACGCGTTACCTTGGTTACCGGGTGTTGTGGTGAGTGCTTGTTTTACACAGTGTTCTGAAAGTGAAGCTCAAAAGGAAGAAGGAGGTAAAGGTACCTTTGTTGAAGGTACCGTGGATTTTGACAATACTTGTTCGTAACTTTGAGTCAATTTTTAGCGAGTTTAGAATAATTCTATGAAATGTACATTGTTTGCAACTGTTCAATTCTTTTACCTTTTGAGTGCGTTTTGTTTACCAAAGAAATGTTATCGTGACTAAATTTGACGGCAATAGGCTTTTTTCTAGGAATTAAATGGCTGATTCACAAAATGTGGATGATTTGATTAAAAAAATGCATGAGAATGCAATTAGCTGAACTTATTAATTGTAGTAGGGCTTGCTACTACGGTACGTAAACCGAACAATACATACGACTGTGAAGTTAGGTGAGACAAGATGATAATATTTGGTGATTTGATGCACCACCAGCGAGTGTTTTAAACCATTTAACGTTAGTTATATTTGAGTTTATTGTATTGGCGATATTATTTTGATTTAATAAGCTATATACACCAAGAAGTTCAACTAATTTAATGATGTAACATTTGTCGTGTTATTATTCCTAATGCGTTTTCTCTGAACTTTGCACTTCCGGGAATGATTTGCTCCTTTATAATACTAAATTCTATCTGACGTGATTTCTTCGTCCATCAACATACTAACATAGTCTCAATTATTATTATCATAAGTTGATGACTAATAAGTATTCAAAATCTTAATTTGTTACTGTTGTGTTGTAAAATTTGGTCTGTTTTAATACAGTATAATATCCAATCATAGTCTTTATCTGTTTATATCAAATAAACCCGACTTTTTCGTCTACCACAACTACAAATCACACAAGATGTTGATCAAATTTACTTACTTGCTACTTTAGGCGATCCTCAATAGAAATACCGTTCACTATTTTCATTTTTCCCCCAGACTTTTCGATCACACAGCAGAATGGAGATCGTCTAACTCAAATTGAACGCCGGCAATACTAGCTACAGCATCTAAGAATGTGAGTGGCTTAGACCGCGACCGGACTGGGGAAGTGCCAATGGAGGATGGTGGCTATGATCTGGTCAGAGGCTATCTTGCAATGACCAGCCACCAGCGAATCTAGCACGTCTTTGTGCGAGTACCGATTACCGAAGCTAATGCTATATAATGCGGTATAGTTGGTGTCCAAAGATTTGCTTGAGCGTGGGATGTTTTTTTTTTCAGGATATATTCTTGCCCTTCAATTCACAAGAAGTCGAGTAGAACATCCTTTTAGCATGTAGGCGTTTTTCAAACTGCTTTTTCATAGTACAAGTTTCGCCCTTTTTTGGTATGAGAATGAAGCCGTTTTCCAGGCCTAAAGTATAAGGCTTCAATTCTATTAGAGCACTGTTTGCTGTTGCAAAGGGAGAGGGGATGTTCATGCAGACAGAAGAGGAGTTTCCAGACTGAAGGAGGATTCAAATTCAGAAAAATTATAAGGGGAGGGGCGAAAAAATACAGCGGCACAAAGGTACGTTTTGGCACTGGCCACAGCATTCAGGCATCGATCGGCTATTATACATGATCATTGATACAGTTCTGGGTTCAGTTAAAATTTTCAGGCTAAACATGCGCACACACATAATGATATGCGGCATTGGACATGCCGCAGATATTAGGTTTTCCGCACCTTGTACTCGATGCATATCCAATATAACACTCACAGTCAAATTTTCTTTTATTTGATATTCGCTTTGGTCATCATAGTCATACCTTGATAATTCATGAATATGCATCTAATAACTTCTATAAATAGCGTTCCATAAAATAAAACGGAAAACCTAAAATACGACTGTTGGGGCCGGGCCGGGGCATATCCAATCATCAGACATTACGTTACAGCTGAAACCATGAACGTCTTTTGCCCCATTTTCAACATTATATTAATGATTAACTCCGATATCCATGTCCACCAAGTTTTCGGACAGCTTTTAAAGTCCAATTAAAAGATCCTTACGAATTTTCAGAATGATATCATTCCAGGAACCGCGAAGATATGACGGAACAATACGACGAAAATCAATTGTCAATGAATTTCGTCAAATTACGCGACTTTCACACTTATTACTGAAGCCACGCCTCATTTAATATGGCACCTATGCGAAACTCACTGATCATTCCAAAAAGGTATGACAAATTTGGTTTTGTGAAAAATCTCACACTCTAGAAGTAGAAAACAATGGTACGTACCAAACAGTGGCGTAACGTTGCCTGTTGCCATAATAACCAGTTCCCAAGTCTTCTTGTATCACGTCGTGACCCCCATTATCGTTTACTAACAAAAAATACTATTAGCGCACTTCCCTGTGACCGCGGGTTTTCTAGTCTTACTTATAATTCAGAGAATTATTTCTGTACACTGTACAACCGCCCACGTGCAAATTAGATGAAAAATAGGAATTTAGGTAACAACCAAAAGGTTCCATAGCAACGGTGTTTTAATGCACACATGCACGTGCAAAGATTTTGTTAACGTCATTTTGATCGGTTTTGTGATAATTACGTTTTGTTTAAAGTGTTTTATATTTAATCGGCTGTATCTTCGGTTGAGATGGATGTTTTTTGATGCGATTAAAACTTTCTTTCAAAGAATTCTATTTATCTGAGGACCCCAGGCTTTAGGGGTCGTTCGCATATTACGTAATCAATATTTTAGCCATTTTTACCCCCCTCCCCCTTCCGTAATCAACCATAATCTAAGACCCAACCCCCCCCCCCCCCCTCCTGACAGCAATATTACATAATCATGGCCTGACCCCCCCCCCCCCCCCCCCCCCCCCCTTGACTTTTTTTCCTAGAAAACACTTTCTCTACGTTTCATGCTACCCTGATCATTGATCATGTTATCATGATGAGCCGAATTGAAATCATTGTTATGATATCCGGCCAAGCACCTTCTAAACTACTTACACAAGTGGTTGTACATTATCTGAAATGGAGTTATCGAATGAATTATCAATCGGGAACTTGCTTCTCCGTGCGGGAACGAACGAAATAGTTAAACAAGTCATCTCGAAGTTTGATCATTCAAAAAAGCGAGCTGAAAATCTCAAAGCATTAAAGTCGTCTAATCTTGAAATGTTGGAGCATTGTGCTGAATTTTTGTGTATTAACTTAGCTGACAGTGATCGTAATAAGATTTACACAAAGGACACACTTGCCAGTAGAATACTGTTCCAGTTAAACGCTTTGCTCCCCTCACAATGCCCGGAGTGTAACCAGAAATACGTGATAGATCTCGAGCCGGAACAGAAACCGCTTTTTCACTGCCATATGTGTTTTCGGGGATCTCACGATTGTGCTGTTGTATCTGGTTTACATGATGTTTTAACTCAGGCTTCGATAGACCTACCTTCTAGCTACGTTTGGCTGTGCAAATCTTGCAACGAGTCTAGTTTGCCTATTGTGTCTAGAAAGAGGAAACTCCCCATGATAGCGTGAGTATCACGGACCCCGCTATCCTTGCGAGACTTAATGCTGACACTATATCTTCTTCGCAAGTTTCCTCGCCTCACAACGAAACATCGGAATCTTTCAAGCAGAACCAGGAGAAGTTAAATCTTAATGATCTCAACTCAAAACTGGATAAAGTTGTCAGAGAACGGGTGTGTGAGAAGTATAAGCGAGGAAAATGTCCGCATGGTTTAAGGGGGAAGAAAGAACATGAAGGACGTGTCTGTGAGTTCGAACACCCTAGATACTGTGATAAGTACTGCCGCTTTGGTACTCAGCGTAACTTCGGGTGCAATAAGGGTTCCAGCTGCAAGTTCTTTCACCCCGTGCTCTGTAAGTTCTCTGTCAAGAACAAGCTGTGTACTAACTCAGAGTGCACATTTATCCACCTGAAAGGGACCCGGAGAAAGGAGAATGGTGATGCTCCTCGGCCCAAGAAAGGTGATAAAGCTGCCCCCGCCCCTACAGCTACCCAGGATTCTACCTCAGTTGCTGATTTTGGGGCTTCTTTTTGGGGGGGGGGGGGGCCAACCATATTAAAGTATATTAAAATGTAGGATTTTTCCCGATTTTGACCCGGGGATATACTTTAATATACTTTAATATACTTTAATATACTTTAATATATCCCTATCTCCTTGGAGGCCTACATCAAAAATTGTTGCCCAAAATAAGCTTGAAATGCAATTCTTAATCGATTCCAAAAAGTTCTTGAAAAAATATTGAAAACTGATGGAGTTATTTAAATTTTAATGAAGTCATTTTGGCTAGTATTCCGAACCGAGATATTATGTGCAATTTTCCCAATTTTGTTCATGGAGGTCTTTTTACTTATTATCCACTATATTCAACAAACACTGAGTTATATCTTTCACATAGAATTGGTCTCATTAAAAAATATTGAAATTTTATCGAATTTGGGCAAAAGGGAATTTGGGCAAAAGCGTATGCCCAAATATGGGCATATTTTTTAAAGCTCATAGCTCAGCCAATTTTTGACCAATCTGGATGGAAATTCATGTACTAGTCCTAAAACAGGCTTATCTTGCGAATCAGAGTGAAAAATATAGTTCATCATGTAAATCTTAACGAAGAATATAAATCTTCTAATTGTAGGTATATTAAAGTATATTAAAATGTAGGATTTTTTCCGATTTTGACCCGGGGATATACTTTAATATACTTTAATATGGTTGGCCCCCCCCCCCTTTTTTAGAGTTAGCGAGACTGATGGACAGGATGCAAACCTGCTTCACTCGGGAAATCTCGGAAATCCGTGCCAGTCTCCGCCCCAACCCTCAATACCAGTTTCCCCCACCACACCTTCAGTCAGGATTGGCGTACCCACAGCACCAGTACCCCTACCCGACACCTCTGCTCCCTACCCATGCCCAGATGATGCAGAACGTGCCCACTATTCCTCATGCCTTGTCTTAAACGTGCAGTCCATGAATCCGAGCGCTTCAAGTACAAGCCGTTGGAAGGTGCCCGATATTTCCGCTTACATTAACGATGAACGAGCGAGAAATCATTCCTTACCTTTTGTAGCGCTCACTGAGACTTGGCTGAAACCCTATATGGCTGATGCCCAACTACATGTTCCAGGGTATACAGTCTCCCGATGTGACCGAAGTGGGCGGGTCGGAGGCGGAGTTTTGCTCTATTCCCACATCAACATACCTGTAAGTGAGTGTGATACGTTTGATGATGGTACCTGCGAGGGTTTATTTTGCAGATTCAGCACGATTAATACATGTGTTGTAGTGGCTTATCGACCCCCAAATGCCACCCTCAGCAGTTTATCTCCACGTGTATTCACCGTGTTAATGATGAAAGCTACGATATTATGCTCACAGGTGACTACAACTTACCCTCAATAGACTGGCAGACTGTATCCGTGTCGTCAGGAGGTTCCAGTGAGACTCAGCTATCAGCTCACTCCCTTCTCAACTTCATGGCCAAGCATCTGCTGAGTCAATACGTCCTTTGTCCAACCAGCGGTAACAATGTTCTAGACTTGTTCATCACGAATAACAGCAGACTTGTTACTAATGTTCAGGCACAAGCTACCTCACTGTCTGACCATCATCTGGTGGATGTTATGCTCGCTACCAATCCGCTATCCCGAAAGGAGGCTACCATCCCTAAGTTTGACGAAAGTAGCTTCAGGTCTCTTGACTTTTTTAAGGCGGATTTTGATGCACTAAAGGAGGAGTTACAGGAAGTTAACTGGTCTCAGCTTCGTGACTCATGCTCCTTTGAGGAGTTTCCTGCTCTTTTTACGGAGACCCTGT